GAGCTTCGGCTCGGACTTTCCTGTTCTGCGTCTGCACTCTGACAGAGGTGGAGAGTTCTCCTCTGGCCTTCTGCGAGCCTACTGTCGTGCACGAGGCATCCGCCAGACCTTCACGCTTCCGGACTCTCCACAGCAAAATGGGATTGCTGAGCGCCACATTGGCATGGTCATGGACGTCGCCCGTACGTCCATGATGCATGCGGCTGCCCCCCATTTTCTGTGGCCGTTTGCTGTTCGGTACGCGGCGCATCAGATCAACCTTCACCCCAGGGTCTCCATGCCGGAGACCTCCCCAGCCTTGCTATGGACGAGGAAGGTTGGCGATGCGTCTGCGTTCCGTGTCTGGGGATCTCGGGCGTTTGTCCGCGACTTGTCTGCGGACAAGCTGTCCCCTCGTGCTGCTCCTTGCGTCTTCCTTGGCTTCCCCCCTGACGCGCCAGGGTGGCAATTCTACCACCCCACCTCTCGCCGTGTTCTGTCCTCCCAGGACGTCACGTTTGACGAGTCGGACCCCTACTACCGCCTCTTCCCCTACCGCACTCCGTCCCTCCCCCCGCCACCGCTCTTCCTTGTGCCAGGTCCCCCCCCGGTAAACCCCCTCCCCCCTCAGGGTCCTGCCCCTTCAGGTGTGTCCCAGGTAGACGCAGTCGAGCCTGTCGAGGTTACTGGTGACTCTGGTGCTGCTGAGGGTGCTGAGCCTGGGGGTGCTGACTCTGGGGGTGCTGAGCGTGTGGGTGCTACGCCTGGGGGTGCTGAGCCTGAGGGTGCTACTACTGGGGGTCCTGAGCCTGGGGGTGCTGAGCCTGGGGGTGCTACGCCTGGAGGTGCTGAGCCTGGGGGTGCGGAGCTTGAGGGAGCTGGGCCTGCTCGTGTGGCGTCTGGAGGTGCTGAGCCTGGAGGTTCTCCGGGTGCTTCGTCTCGGCGGGAGCCACTCTCTCCACAGGAGCTGCGCGAGTGGTTTGCCCGGCGCTGGAGGCGTGCTGCTGGAGCTGGAGGTTCTTCGACTGCTGAGGGTGCTGGTGCCGCGGGTCCCGGAGGTGCTCGTACTGGGAGTACTGGAGCTGCTAGGCCTGCGGGTACGACTGGAGCTGGAGCTGCTGAGGGTGTTGGCGCTGAGGCTACTGCTGTCGGTCCTGGAGGCGGTCCTGCTGGGGGTGCTACTGGTGCTGCTGGAGGTACTGGAGCTGGAGGTGCTGCTGGCGCTGGTGCTGCCGCTGGGGGTACTGGTGCTGTCCCTGCTGTGTCTGGAGTCGCCGCGCGGCCTCGGCCGTACTTCGTTCCGCTCCTTCAGCAGGTTCTTGGTCTCCCGCCTTCTACTGGTCCTCCTCCTCCCTTAGAGTGTCCACAGCCTGTCCCGTCACAGTTACAGTTACAGCCGGCCTCCCCACTGCCTGCTCCTTCTCCCTACACTGGTCCTACTGGAGGTCTTGCTGAGCGTCGTGAGCCAGCGTCTCGCCCTGCGTCGCCTGTCCGTGCTGCTCGCACTAGTGGTCGTGGTTCGCGTCAGCGTCCTCCTCCTGTCCCTGGCACGCACCGGATGTCTCTGCGTCCGTCCACTGCTCCTCTGCGTGCCCCTTTGCCTTCTCCTCCTGAGTCCTCTCTTCCTGCTCTTCCTGACCCGGAGTCGGACTCTCTTCGTGCTGCCAGTCCTACTGTCACGCGTCTCCTTGCTACTGTTGTCACTGACCCTTCCTTTGAGTCCACTGCTGCGTCTGCCCTAGTTACTGCGCTCGTCGACTTTGCTGCTCGCTGTCGTCTAGACTACGCTGCTAGTCTTGTTGCTGAGTCTGAGTCTGTCTGTCCTCCGTCCGTCGGGGGTGAGTGTGCCCTTGGTACGGACGTCCTTGAGGACAGGCAGGAGGAGTTCCAGTGTTTGGCTGCTGCTTCACCTCATCTCGTGTCCGTACTGCTTACCCCTGAGGGAGACCCGGATGCACTTGACATCCCGACTCCGCGCTCTTACGCGGAGGCGATAGAGGGTCCCTACTCCTCTCAGTGGCAGGCATCTATGGACGCAGAGATGGCTTCCTGGAAGTCCACAGGCACCTACGTTGACGAGGTTCCCCCGCCTGGGGCGAACATCGTCAGTGGCATGTGGATTTTCAGGGTGAAGCGGCCGCCGGGTTCTCCGCCTGTCTTCAAGGCGCGTTACGTGGCTCGTGGCTTCAGTCAGCGGCAGGGAGTTGACTACTTTCAGACCTTCTCTCCCACCCCGAAGATGACCACTCTTCGGGTACTGCTGCACATAGCTGCTCACCGCGACTACGAGCTGCACTCTCTTGACTTCAGCACTGCTTTCTTGCAGGGCAGCCTGCACGAGGAGATCTGGCTGCGTCGCCCACCTGGCTTCACTGGGTCTTTTCCTCCTGGCACCCAGTGGAGCCTCCGGCGGCCAGTCTACGGTCTCCGCCAGGCACCGCGTGAGTGGCACGACACACTGAGGACTACACTTGCGGCTCTTGGGTTTGCTCCCTCTACTGCCGACCCGTCGCTGTTTCTGCGCACCGACACTTCTTTGCCGCCGTTCTACATCCTCGTGTACGTCGACGACTTGGTCTTCGCCACAGCTGACACTGCTGGACTCGCCCACGTGAAGTCCGAGCTGCAGAAGAGACACACGTGCACAGACCTGGATGAACTGCGCAGCTACCTTGGCTTGCAGATCACCCGGGACAGAGCACGCCGCACCATTACCCTCACTCAGTCACACATGGTGCAGCAGGTCCTTCAGCGCTTCGGCTTCACGTACTCCTCGCCTCAGGCCACTCCTCTGCCTACTCGCCACTCGCTCTCAGCTCTGCCTTCGGATGAGTCCGTAGAGTCGAGTGGCCCGTACCCAGAGCTTGTTGGCTGCCTCATGTACCTAATGACCTGCACACGACCTGACCTTGCGTACCCTCTTAGCATTCTTGCACGCTATGTTGCTCCTGGGAGACACAGACCGGAGCACATGGCTGCAGCGAAGAGGGTGTTGCGCTACTTGTGCAGTACGTCGGGCATGGGGCTTGTGCTTGGAGGGCAGAGTCCAGTGGTCCTCACTGGGCACGTAGACGCTTCTTGGGCTGACGACCAGGCTACGCAGCGGTCGTCACAGGGTTACACCTTCAGCCTTGGTTCCGGCTCTGTTTCGTGGCGGGCTACCCGCTCGTCTTCTGTTCTCGGCTCCAGTTGTGAGGCTGAGATCTACGCCGGGGCCATGGCTGCACAGGAGCTTCGCTGGCTCACCTACCTGCTGACTGACCTCGGAGAGCCGCCTCGTTCTCCTCCAGTGCTGTACGTAGACAACAAGGCCATGCTGGCCTTGTGTCGAGAGCAGAGACTGGAGCACAGAACGAAGCACATTGCTCTCCGCTACTTCCTTGCTCGTGAGCTACAGCAGCGTGGTCAGCTGCGGCTTGCGTACGTGGCCTCTGAGGCCAACACTGCTGATATCTTCACCAAGGCACTTGCGCCTTGTGATCATCAGCACTTCTGTACTCAGCTTGGTCTTGTGCCTACCTTGCCTCACTTGCTCACCCCTTGACCTTGTTTGTACTGTTGCATATATATATACACCTGCTCTTGCTTGTCTAGTCTTATACATATATACATATATATATGCAATCCTGCATGTGAACTGGCCTTGTGGCCTTGAACTTGTGCTCGGAATGTGTGGTGACTTTGTGATCCACCCTGAGCTTGTTTTGCTTTGCTTGACTGGTCCTGTGACCCCTTGTTCTCCCCCACTTTGCCTATGGGGGTGTGTCAGATTTATATGACATAGCTACTGTAGGCTATAGTGGGGTAGCACATATGGGGTACAGTTTTCTAGGGTTTGCTTTTTTGTACCCAACTTTCACTTAGTCATTTCATTCCTGTTTTCTTAATTCACAGGGCGATGTTCGGCAGCCACAGGGGATCGACGGGACGGCATGGGACGGAGGATGAAAACGTCGGGCCTCCTGGTTCGACCTTGACGAACCAGGCAAAACACTACGGTCAGTAGATGAAAAAACGAAAAATGTGCCGGACGTGGGCCAAAAACGCGACGCGAACTCCAACCTAGACCTGTGACCGCGCCGCATCCTCCCCATGAACCCCCCCCCTTGGCGGAAACTTTCTGCTCCAGTGTCGAGGGATGGAAATTGGATTCCCCTGAGGTGGACAACCCCACGGGGAATCAGAATTCCATGCCCCGGACGATGGGTATGTTTTTTCAAACACCCATGCACTTTTATTTATCACCCAGATAGAGCCACTATCCTATTTTCCTCGTTACCTGAACGGATGATTGTCGAAAAATACATTAAATGAAATTCGGGTGAGGTTTACCTGTTTAAGTGTTGACTTTTAGCAATCGTAAATTAAACGCTAAAAAATAAAAAGTAACTTATCAACAGAAATATCCAGGGTATTTTTGCAATATAGGGTGAGGCTCACAAACAAACCCTGACGGGAGCTGTTCACGTTGCAAGGTTCGCGTTTGCAAGGCGTCTGCTTCCGTTGCCCTCCCCCTACCACTCTGGACCTCCGCAATTACCGCCGAGTCCTTCCGCTTGCGCAAGGACCTCGAACTTGGCGTCAACTGTGGTTGACCCCAAGTTGACCTGTCACAACTAGGGGCGAGGCTCTCGATTTTCGATGCCTCGACTCATCCCTCGCTGGATCCCTTGGGCTGCCGAACATCGCCTTGGAGTGGAGGTGGAGGGGGGTGGAAGGGGAAGGCCGGCTGATCATACATCCCTGCAGATATGCCTGCAGATGTGCCTTCAGCCACTAACTCAAAGAAACTTTTGGGTCTCCTAAACACACTTGTGCCAAGGTCTTCCAATCACCTCACTTCACTTGTGGAAATCCCTAATCACCTCATAGTGTGTATCACCACTGTACTGTACATCGCCCAAATCCAGCTCAAGTTACTCAACAGAAAACATTTCTCATTGTGATCCACACTGGAGGAGACAGCATACTACTAAAGTTCCAATGCAACATTTCTGTCCAAAAGATGTGTTACGACAATTCTAGGCGAGTTTAGACTTGAATTTCCTGCGCTGCTGCTGCTGTGCCAGTCGCAGCACCTCCTGGGCCATGACGTCAGCAGCATCAGCGGTGGCAGCAGCCGCTGCACACTTCTTCATCTTCTCTCTCCTTGCTTCGTCCGCTGCCCATGGGACGGGGAGGGGAGGGGGGGGAAGGGAAGGGGTCGAAGTTGGGGAGGGAAGGGGAGTTGCCGGGCAGAAGCTATTGGAATTCACACTTGAACGCGAGAAGCCGTGCAGGCTACAAGCACGATAAGCCCACTTGCGCACTTGCAGAACGAAGCAAAGTAGGAGGGAGATGGTGGGGGCGTGGGCAAGGCCACAGGGGAGTGCCAAGCAGCACAGGGACAGCAGCGTTTATGAGACCATGGCCCAAGATTGGACTACAAGCATTGTGGGTGACGAAAGAGGTGCACCAAAATAAGCAGGGAGATGGTGGAAACAAACGGGCAATGGCAAGGGCAGGGGCAAGGGCAAGGGCAAGGGCAAGGAGAAGGGCAAGGGCAAGGGGAAGGGGAAGGGCAAGGGGAAGGGGAAGGGGGAAAGGGCAAGGGACACGAGGGAAACAGAAGATTCTTGAGACGTGTCGACACTCGGGACAACTCGCAACTCACTTCACCTTATGACTCGTGTACAAACACGGGGTCTTACCAAGCAGCGAGGTGACAGCCGAGAGGAGAGAGTCTGGGGAGAGTTGGTCCTGAGGCAGCATCACAGCCGCCCCTGCTTGCACCATGGCATGTGCATTCACGGTTTGGTGATCCTCTGCTACATGTGGTGATGGTATCTGCGCATGGGGATAGATGAGGGGTAATAAGGAGAGAGTATGTGAGTCACGTTCTGTGGGTCCTGAGGCAGCATCACAGCCGCTCCTGCTTGCACCATGGTGTGGGCATTCACAGATCGATGATCCTCTGGCACATGTTGTGATGGTATCTGGTATTTGCATGGAGTGATAGAGTGAGGGAAAGAGGGAATGATTCGCCTGTGTTTAAGATGCACATAATCATTCACTGCCTGATGGTCCTCTGCCACGTGTGGTGATGGGAGGGCCGACATTGCCGTGGTTGCCGACATTGCCGTGGTTGCCAACATTGCCGTGGTTGCCAACATTGCCGTGGTTGCCAACATTGCCGTGGTTGCCAACATTGCCGTGGTTGCCAACATTGCCGTGGTTGCCAACATTGCCGTGGTTGCCAACATTGCCGTGATTTCCGTGACACGACGCATGAGCGATGAGAGAGCACTGTCAGGAAAGCTTTGTGAAACTCGGCGCTTACGGATGCCGCGCTTAGGGGTGAGTGCATGCAGGTGCACATGCGCGCATGAGTGCACGGACGCATGAGTGCGTGATGAATGAGTGCAAGTGCATGAGTGCATGAGTGCATGAGTGCATGAGTGCGAGTACCAGAATGCAAGGCGTGGCCGTAGCGAGCAGCTCAGAGCACGTGACAGCACCGGCACGCGCCACCACCACATCTGCTGCTGCATATGCCAGCTCCATGCGATCCACAAACCTGCCACGGCCCACCACGGGGTATGGTTGGAGAGGGGGCATCGGGAGGGTGGCGGGACGAGGGGTGTGAGGGGAAAGAGGGGGAAGAGGAGGAAAGGTGTGAGGAAATGGAGACGGGTGAGGGGACGGAGAGAGGGGGGAGTGGGAGAGGGCAGGTTGCGGGGACGAAGAGGGGTGAGGGGACGGGCGAAAGTGGAAACAACGAGTGAGACATGCGTGGAGAGGAGGATGAGAAGAGCACAGAACGAGAGGACCTAGAATCTCTTGCCAACACCAGAGACCGGAACATCAGCAAAGCACCAACGCAAGAGAGGGGCGAGAGGTAGGCGGCAAGGAAAACAAGGTGGGGAGTGGATGCAGTTGACATGAAGAGGAGATAACAGCCATGTCAACTGCATGATGGGGCATCGGAGCAAGCGACTATTGAGAATTGACCTGACAACATGATGGCACATTCTCAGACATCCCTCACCTCACCTGTGATCGTGAGTACTGTTGGTAAGAGCGAAGGAAGGAGGAGAAAAGAGCGAGGGAAAGAGGAGAAGGGAGAGAGGGAAGCAGGAAAAGAGACCTCACGGCAAGAGAGAAACGCGGGGATGTGACGCAAGAGGACGAGCTCTCATCTCCTCCACATGCCGTGCTCCCGCCTGCCATATCACCAACACCTCCCCACCATTTTGCACACCACCCAACTCCTCAGCACCGCACTCCACACCGCCGGACCCATCAAGTAGCCGCTGCAGCGTGCCTGCGACGGCTGTGTTGATGGGTTGTGCTCCCAGCGAGCCCCCCAGCACCAGCACCACCTGTGCTCTCTGCCCCGCTCCTCCCACCGCTCCTGCCGCTGCTCCCCCCGCCGTCCCCCCTGCTGTTCCTGTTGCAGCTGCACCAGCAGCAACGCCATCAGCACAAGCAGCAGTGGCAGGTGCGGCACGTGGGAAGAAGTACCCAATTGCTTCTTCCCGCTTCTCGTCCCGCGCTTCCCTCACGGATCGCAGCACCGCGCGCGTGGGGTTCCCCGCCACGTGGCAGCGCCGGGTTGGAAAGAACCTCTGGGCGACGGCGAAGGCAACGAAAACGACGCTCGCGAAGCGGCCAAGCAGGCGGTTGGCGATTCCCGCGAAAGCGTTCTGCTCTTGTAACACGAGAGGTATGCGACAGATCGCCGCTGCTAGACAAGTCGGCGCGGATACGTACCCTCCTGTGCCTATTACGACATTGGGCTTTAATCGCCAGATTAAGAGCAGGCAGACGCAGAACGCGCGGAGGAAACGGAACGGTACGAGGAGGTTGGAGAGGGTGGTGAGGAGCGGCCGACGGATACTGACGGCTGGGATTGGATGGATCGGGTAGCCTGCGCGCGGGACAGCCGTCCATTCCATTCTCTCCTTGGTTCCGACGAAGTTGATCTCGGCCGTTGGATCGCGGGATCGGACGGCGTCCGCGATGGCGATGGCGGGGTACACGTGGCCGCCCGTGCCGCCGGCGGCAAAGAGGATCGAGATCTGACGGGGTGAGTCTGACGTGTCGGGTGGTGCTACAATCGCGGGCGACCCTCCCGCAGAGCATGTGACTGCAACCGAGGAATGCCCCCTGCTACCACCGTTGCTAGCAGGGGGCATTCCTCGGTTGCAGTCACATGCTTGCGCGAATCCCACTCACCGCCAGGACTCCCTTGAACTAGTGCTTGCACCTTCCCCGCTAAAAGCACCCCTTTCATCCCGTTTAAAGCTCCCGCTTTGGAGACAACTGCCAGGGGGAGCAGAGGCGATCTTTCCGCTTCTACTGCTGCCCATGGCGCGTCCGAATGCCGACGATCCCCGGCTTATCGGCGCAATCACGCCCCCTCGCCCACCACCGCGCACCCTCCTGTCCCCGCAGCACCCGCCTCCGCTCACCCCAGCGTCCGGTCTCCGCCGCAGCGTCGCGCGCGGAACGGCAGAAGCGTTCGACGAGGCGACGGCGGAAGCGGAAGCGGCGGCTGGCGCGGGTAAAAGCGCGCGCCTGTGGGCGAATGCGGTCGCGGTGCTTCCGCCGTGAGTGGGATTCGCGCAAGCAGGGAGGAGGAGCGAGGCTCGAATCATGGCTTCCTTTCACCGGGGAGCCCTACGGGAGCATCGACTCGGTGCGCAGCCACGTGGTAGATTCCTACTGGCGTCCCTGGCGCAGATAAGCCTACCAGTCTAGTACACTGTATGGTCTTGCTTTACACTAGCCTAGACCAAGTCGAGTATGACCTGAGTAGGACGGGCAGGAATTTCGAGAGTGGGATTTGGGGCGAGGCGAGCTTGCTACAATAACGAGTCTGGAGCATTTGGGGCGTAGATTCGTGGGATGCAGACTGACCAAGTTCTGAAATCGAGCAGGTAACCAAGCTCAACGACAGTTTCGCTTGCCCATGACGAGCTTCGCCGGACCCCGAACCTGGGTTTCGCTTTTTGGCTGAGCTCATCCACGCTATTGTTTCGGAGATTGGGTGTCAGAAGATCCAAGGTGAAGCAAAGTGAACCATACGTGCTCATTCCATCATAACCAAAATGTCACCAAACAATATACTCTACACCCTACCGCGTCCCGCATTCCCCTTTAAGCCGAACACAATCCAGCACTTGCGCTTCCCTTAACTGCGGAGCATACTGTAACGAGCGCGGCAGGTGAGCCAGGTTGTAACGAGGCTCGGCCAATCAGTAAGCTGCCCGTGTTGCAGCAGATAGCGCCACACACTCTTGTGCTGCAATTCATCACTGCCGTCCCCCCCAGCAGCACTGCCATCACCATCTTTTTCCCCCAAACCCTCTTCCTGCTTTCCTCGTGCTGCTTCCCTCGCACACTGCCTGCCCACATGTGCCCCCCACTCCTGTAAATCTTCTGCATGTCCACTTTCCTCCATGCACCCCCTGTGCCCTCCACTTCGCCCATTCCCTCCCAGTTCTAATCCTCCTTCCTCCTCATCTTCCCTGCTTCTCTCACTTCCCTCTCCTTCTGCTTCGTCCTCCCCACTCTCTCCCCCACTCTCAGAACCGTCACTCTCCTCCTCATCCGCACCATCACCCCCCACCCCTCGCTCCGTGCCTGCAGCAGCATCAATATCATCATTATCAACCGCAGCGTCATTATTATTAACATCATCGTCACCAGCAGCACCAGCATCCGTGTGATAGGAGGACGGGATTGAGCGCAGCTGTTGCAGATCGAACAGGTGGAGAGAAGTGAGATGGGGCAACAGTGGGAGGCACGAGGGGAGCGAGACCAGCTTCAGGGAGCGCAGAACAATGGAGCGAATCGGGAAGCAAGGGCGTGTGGAGGGGGAAGAGTGAGAGTTACGAGGTGGGAGCGAGGGGGACGTGGAGGAGCAGGAGGGTGGAGTGGCGGACTGGCGGGGGGAAGAGTGGTTGGGAGACAGGGAGGAGGATGTAGGGACAGGGGGAGAAGGGATGGAGGTGAGAGAATTGAGGGCGTTCAGTTCAAGGTGTGTGAGGGACGGGAAGAGGAGGAGCGTCGGGGGGAGGGAGGAAATGGCAGGGCAGCCTTGAAGTGTGAGTTCCTGAAGGGAGGGCAGGTGGTGTATGTGTGTGGGGAGGGAGGAGAGGAGGGGAAGGGAGTGCAGAGTGAGATGGGAGAGGCGGAGGAGGAGGGTGAGGGAGGGAGGCAACTGGGAGAGGTGGGAATTGTTGGAGAGAACCAGGTGTTGCAGCGACCGCAGCAGTACCCCACTGCTGGGTGAAGTGGGGATGGGTGCTGTGGGGAGAGGTGTCGTGGTGATGGGTGTCGTGGTGATGGGTGTCGTGGGGATGGGTGTCGTGGGGATGGGTGTCGTGGTGATGGGTGTCGTGGGGATGGGTGTCGTGGGGATGGGTGCCGTGGTGATGGGTGCCGTGGTGATGGGTGCCGTGGGGATGGGTGCCGTGGTGATAGGTGCCGTGGTGATGGGTGTCGTGGGGATGGGTGCCGTGGGGATGGGTGCCGTGGTGATGGGTGCCGTGGTGATGGGTGCCGTGGTGAAGGCTCCAGGCAAACCAGTTTTGACACCCTCCCTACTCGTGGCATCGCCATTCGTGGCATCCCTACTTGTGATAGCCCCACTTGTGACAGCCCCACTTGTGATAGCCCCACTTGTGACAGCCCCACTTGTGATAGCCCCACTTGTGACAGCCCCACTTGTGATAGCCCCACTTGTGACAGCCCTACTTGTGACAGCCCCACTTGTGATAGCCCCCTGCTCCTCCTCTTCTGCTGCTGCTGCTACCGCTGCCACTGCCGCTACTGCAGCTGCTGCAGCTGCTGCTGCTGCTGCTGCTGCTGCTGCTGCTGCTGCTGCTGCTGCTGCTGCTGCTGCTGCTGCTGCTGCTGCTGCTGCTGCTGCTGCTGCTGCTGCTGCTGCTGCTGCTGCTGTTTCTTCTCCTTCTACCCCTCCCACCGGTCCGTTCTCACGGTCAGAGTGACTGCAATCCAGCACGGAATCACACTCCAAGGGCAGCTCTGTGATGCCGGTTCCAGAGAGAGCGAGGGTGTGGAGAGAGGGGAGGAGTGGGAGAGAGGTCGGCAGGTGGTGCAGCGCGGGACAGTCAGAGATAGAAAGTGTGTGAAGGGAGGATAAGCGGGATAAGTTCGGAGGAAGGGATGAGAGTGAGAGGCATGAGTTGAGGTGGAGTGTGCGAAGGGAAGAAAGGAGGGGGAGTGAGTGAGGGAGAGACAGAAGCCTCTTGCAATGAATCTTAAGCTCTTGCAAGGAGGAGAGGGAACTGAGGGAGGAGGGGAGCGAGGAGAGGAAAGGGCAGTCGTCAATGTGGAGGAGAGTGAGGCAGGGAAGGGAGGGGAGCGAGGGTGGGAGATGCGTGAGTGAAGAACAGTTCTTCATTTCTAGCGTGTGGAGGGAAGAGAGGCGGGAAATGTCTTCTGGAAGCAAAGAGAGGCACGAGAAGGAGGCGAGGGAGAGGAACTCAAGGGAGGAAAGCTGGGGGAGCGAGGGAGGTAGCGCCTTGAGACGCGGTTCATTCTCCATAATGCTACTGTACTCCATTAAACGGAGCTTCTTCAAACGGGGTAAATGGTGGCCGAAGTCAGGAGGGAGGGAGGAGAGAACAGCTTTCTTCATGTCGGTTATTGTGAGATGCTCCAAGGACGGCTGGTGGAAGAGAGAGGGGGGAAACCACGAGAGAGAGTCGCAACGGTGGAGAGAGAGGAGGGTGAGGTGGCTCAAGCGAGAGAGTGAGGAGGGGAGAAAGGAGAGGAGGAGGAGGTCGGATAGTTGGAGGGATCTGAGAGAGGAGAGGAGGCCAAGCGCGGATGGGAGGCGAGAGAGAGAGCTGCAGTCGTTGATGGTCAGTTGGGTGAGGGAGGAGAGGGAGGAGAAGGAAGCAGGTAGGCGCTCCAGCAAATGGCATTGCTGTATGGTTAGCTCCTCGAGACTTTCAAGCTGACCGAAATTCTCGGGCAGCGTAATCAGATCATTGCAGTCCGTGATGGTGAGGCGGCGGAGGGAGTAGAGGCCGGAGAGGGACGACGGCAATTCCTGTAGCTGAACAAAGTTACTAATGAAGAGTTCTTGTAATGAGTGGAGATCCCCAATAGAGTCTGGAAATTCGGTGCAGGATGGGAGGTCGGAGAGTTGGAGGGAAGCGAGAGAGGAGAGGGAACCGAGAGAGTCAGGAAGGGAGTAGAGGAGGGGGATGTGGTCGAGAGTGAGGGAGGTGAGGGAGGAGAGGATGCTGATGGAGGGGGGGAGGAGACGGAGGGAGGAGCAGGAGACGAGGCTGAGGTGAGTGAGGGAGGAGAGGAGGGTGATGGAGTCCGGGAGTGACTTTAATGAAGGGCACTGTAGATGCAGATGGCGGAGAGAAAGGGGGAGTGCGAAGCGGTGGAGGTCGGTTCGCTTGGTCGCGGTGGTTCCCGTGGCAGCTGAGGGAGAGGCTGTGCTAGCAGGAGGAGTGAGGAAACTAGGGGGTGTGAGGGAATTAGGGCTGGTGAGTGGATTGGAAAATGAGAGAGGACAGAACGGCGGAGGGAGTGTGAGGGAGGTCAGGGAGGAGCATTTCAGCAGCAGCTGCTCCAGGCACCCATGGCTAGCAAACGCTTGTGGTAGCCACATAACGTTTTCCAAACATTCTTCCAAGTGTAACTCGTTTAGCTTCGGCAATAAGCTGATTAGCGACTGTATATCCCCGTTCTTGACGTACGGAGCAGAAATCGACTCCATACGGAAATAGCTTCGTCCTACGACTGGAATAGTATACGCCGCCGTCCGCCTTGGTTCCTCCGAACTGCTTTGAAAACCGAACATAACTTTCCTTTGGCCGAGGCGAAGGCTGGTCAGTTCCGGACAATGCGCTGGAAGATCCGCGAAGAAACGGCGGGGAATGAACGCGAGCGCGCGATCTGGCGCGGAGATCGCCGTGAGGTGCGGGAAGCGCGCGGAGGCGGAAAGCAGCGCGCGCGCGGAGAGACACCGGTCAGGGGGAAGGCGGATGGCGGACTGCAGGCGCAGCGCGAGGCGGAACCATCGGCGACAGACCAAAGCGTGCGAGAAGCTTGAGCCGTCCGATGCAATTTCGCGAAGGATCAAGCAGAGAACGTCGTCGGAGAGAAAATCGATCGCCGGCCGTTGATCGGCGGCATGGACAGCATTATCAGGAGCCATGAGATTGGACGGTGGAGATTTATAGATGTACGTCCTGGATGGTCGAGGCGATGGAACTTGAGGTTGCGTGCGACCGTCAGGTTCTCGCCGCGTTCGCAAACCGAAGTCCTCGAGAACTCAAAACCAGTTTGCCCGTGACCCGAGTGAGTCTCTGGTTTTTGCTTTCAGCTCGGACTGCCTTGAAAGTTGTCCCCGCTGTACCAATAGACCGTCCTCGTTTTGATCACCCATTCGTTTTGTCAATGACAATGACTGGTCCGCCATGGATTCCGCCTGATGGCTTTAAGAGGCTCGCTCGTGAAGGCTACGTGTCAGTTGGTAACATTGTATATAGTTTCGGAACCGCCTTACCGTTACGAAGCTGTAGGTACACTTCTCGTGTCCATCTGACGGACATTGTACCTTATGCAACAAGGGGTCTTGTTTACTATTCTGTTACTAACTCCAAGGTCTCGCGTCAAGCTCTATGGCCGGAATGCGCGTCAGTTTCCAGGACTGACACCTGTTTCTTAACTCGTCATCAAGGGTCTCTTTTCAGATTACACAACCGATACTCATTGGTCAGCAATATTCTACAGGACTACGGAAGTAAACTATTATCAAGGCTACCCTGCTCTAAGTGTTTCAAGTTCAAGGATTTAAACCACTCAGATGGCGGGTTTATTATGCTCAGACAGTGGCTTCTACCTCAAGGAGGCTTTCAGGATCAGCCGTGTCATCATCGCATTATGTCCAGTATGACTACCAGGAATGGAGGTGTTCGCCAGACTGACGGGACTGCTGGCAATGTTTTGGACAAGCATAAGGACGCGTCGGTGATCACTGACGCCTCTGCATCGTCGGCAGTTAAGCGCTCCACTGACCTGTTCACGGAAGAAGACAAGGATGCTCTTCAGCCTGCTGCACATGGTGCTAAGGAAGCGATTCGGGATTTACTCGCTGCGGGTGCTGGGGATAAGGCACAGCAGGGTGATGGTGCTGGTACGAGCAATGTCAACAATGAAGTGCCTGGCGGGACCCTGCCGAAGGAGAAAGAGGAGATGGTCAACAAGCCTGTTAAGCATGATGACGACGAGGAAGACGACGGTTACCTCAGTGATGATCCGGAGGAGCGGTACGATGTGCAGGCGAAGAACGAAGTTGCACAGCGGATTCGTTTCGCCATCGTGTTGCTGATCCCGATCGCTTTCAAGCCGGAAGCGACGCGCGTGCAGGCGACGTTGCGTGCGCTCTTCAACTTGTGGAGGAAAGATCTGCACATGGAGATTCAGGCGACGACAAAATTTCAGGAGCTGACGGCACTGTTTCTGAACAAGAAGCAGTATACGAGGCTCCAGGTTACCTTTGAGAGGGCCCGGGATGCCAATTTCGTGTGGAAGCACGGGATTGTGCATACCTGTGTTGACGGGAAGCGTATCAATTTGGACTGGCAGCACCCGGTGGACCCTGCTTACGTGAAGGCGCGTGCTGCGGACCCGCTGTTGATCGAGGTCCTGTTTAAGGAAGTGGACGCGGTGATCACGCCTGAGATGCTGTGCGAGATGCTGGTGACGGTGAAGTTGGAGAAGAGGGGCCGTCCGGCCTTTAAGGAGGGGTGTTGCTTCCATCGGGTGGTGAACCCTGTCACGGGGATGGATACTGACAAGGTTAAGGGGCTGGTGAAACAGCACGTGGGTGATCAGTACCGCTGGCGTCATCAGATTGACGAACCGACCTCGCGTGATAAGCAGCTGCTGGTGCATTACCCGTCGCTGTCCTGCGTTTACTGCACGGGGTACCACATGTCGAGGTATCATGACGACTATGTGTCAGATCGGCAAAACAACATCAGCAACTGGAGCCTGTCTCTGGGACGGGTTCATGGGATTAATGGTAATAGGGGGGGGATGCATCATGTTTACCTATTCTTTCCTTGCTCGTTGTTTTCACGGTGGTGCGGTGCTAACGTCGTGGGTGTGTCAACTCCGCGCAACCGCCTCAGTCAGGATCATAGATCTGACCAGGCTAATCTTGAAGGACCCGGCTTTGGTGCTGATTTCAACCGCGGGGAACCGCGAGGAGTGGATCTGTGTCCAGGAGAGTTGCGAGAAGGCGAGCGGGGTCTCTTTCGCCCAGGCAGTGGAGCATGTTGTCACCCAGCGGCACAGCGATGGTTTGGAGTCAGGGTCTGCGTCGCGGAGCTCCAAGGCAGGGGTCAATTTGGTGGCGGCGAAGAAGGAGTTCGGAGTGTGATGTGGTGTACCGGTCCTGCGAGGGAAGGGGAGGTATCGGGCTGTGCAGAGGGGACGGCACAAGGAAGAGCTGTTAAGCGCCGGAGTAGCTTCTCATGTTGTCATGCTGGCTGTAGAGTGGTATCGCGTGCTCTTGTAACATCGCCCTGTGGATGCAAGGGGGCTTCAGCAGGAGTTAAATAATGGATAACACCAACCGTTTAACCATCGTGTCCCTGAACGTCAACGGGTTAGGGAGCACAGGGAAGCAGCAAGCGGTGAAACGTTGGATCAGAACAGTTGCAGACATAGTAGTCCTAGCAGACACAAGGGTGGCGAAGGATCATAATTTTTGGGCAGAGCTCCGGCCTAGCTGTGTGGCCACGGTAGCAGCGCCAACTAGAGCGGGGGGGTTGGCCATCCTGAGCTTCAGAGATGGGGTGCAGATCGAGGATGTGCAGCGGCACCCGTCTGGAAGGTTGCTCCATGCGCGGGTTCGATGGGGGACGAGGGTGATGAGGTTGCTAGCGGTGTATTTCCCGGCACAGCCGCCTCCGAGGGGCAGTTTCTTGGGGTCCTCCTTCAGGGACGTTGCTGCGAACCTGCCAAGGGGGGAGGATCTTGTGGTAGCAGGGGATTTTAATATGATCGAGGATCCTCTTCTGGATAAATCCAATAGGCAAGGGGTGACAGGGGACAACAACCGCATGATGCTGATGCTGGCGGACTTTCATGTGAAGGATGTGTTTCGCGAACTTAACCCGGAAGAGAGGCAGTTTACCTTTTACTGCAAATCGGCGCTGGTCAGTTCACGGATCGACAGGGTGCTGGTGTCACAGTCTATGATGCACCTGGTGGCGAGTGCGGTGCACAAGTGGATACCGAAAGGAATCACAGATCACAAGTTTGCGGTTAAGCTGCGGCTGGCGTGGAGAGGGCCGCGGGAGGCAGGGCCGGGGATCTGGCGCTTTCCGGCAAGGCTGGTTAAGCGGGCTGGTGTGGAGTCGGCGATCGCGGAGGTGGTTCGGAAGCACTGCGAAGGGGGGAGTGGGGACTTTGACAAGTTGTCACGATGTCTGGCTGCTCGACTGCGAAAGTATGACAAGGAGGAGAGGAGGAGGGTGAAGCATACTCGAAGGACGCTGGAAGAACAAGTGGAAAGGTTACAGCACAGGGTGATGGCTGATCCGGGCGACGACGCGCTGCAGGCGTTGCTGACAGGCCGTGAGGCGATGCTGCAAAGATATGGAGACGACAGGAGGAATTTGCTGCAGTTACGGACGGGACTCAAAGTACAGTTGGAAGGGGAAACACCGACAAGTTTCCTGACGGCGCTGGTTAAGAGCCGGAAGGCAAAGACGGTGATCAAGGAGCTGGTGCGGAACGGGATCAGTCACACGGACGCGCGCGAGGTTTTGGAAGCAGCTACCTGTCACTTCAAGGAAGTGTTTGATGTGGGCCCCCAGGGGGGTGTTGCACCAGGGTTGAAATGGACGCCGAGGAAAGTGTTGGAGAAAACATCAGCAGAGAGTTTGACGAGGGACTGGTCAGAGCAGGAGGTCAAGCGGGCGATCAGGGAGCTGGCCAACGATAAGTCACCCGGACGCGATGGGCTGCCTAAGGAGTTGTTCCAGCGCCACTGGGAGTTGCTACGGGAGCCGATGATGCAGATGGTACGGGAGTTTGTGGCGACGGGGAAGATGCCGGATGTCGCGAATGAGGCGGTTACCATCCTGCTGTTTAAGAAGGGGGCGGAGACGGACATAAGAAATTATCGGCCGATCACGCTCCTGTCGGGAGTGTACAAAATCCTGGCAAAAGTGGTGGCGACACGGATGAAAGAGGTGCTCGGTCAGGTGATCTCAAATGAGCAATACGGGTTCTTACCTGGGCGACGGTTGACAGATGCGGTATCAATGGTGGCTGACATGATCGAAGCAGCCCGGAATGAGAACAGCGATTGGTATCTCCTACTGATTGACTTTGAAAAGGCGTATGACTCAGTGCGCCGGGAGTTTATGATGGAGACGATTGTCAAGCTGGGGTTTCCTCCGCGGTTCGCACGGTGGATAGAGGCCCTGCACAGCGATGTACACACAAGGCTGTGTGTTAACGGATGGGTCGGCGAGCAAATCACAATGCGGAAGGGGGTGCGGCAGGGGTGCCCGCTTGCGCCGTACCTTTTCCTGTGTGCGGTGGAGCCTTTGAGCCGGATGGTGGAAGAAAGAAACCTGGGAATTGGCGAAGAAGGCTGCGACAGGTTGTCGTACGTGGGGTATGCGGATGACACTACCCTGCTGTTGGAGGGGGAACAACAACTGAAGGAAGCGGGTGAGCTGTTGCAGGAGTACGCGGTGGTGTCCGGTTTAAAGGTGAACATGGGGAAGTCCGCGGTCCTGCCGTTGGGAAGGAACGTGGGACAACAGGCGCCAGATGGGGAGGGATATAAGTGGGTAGGAAAAGATGAGGTGGAGAGGCTCCTCGGGGTGTGGATATCACCGGGAGGGAGCGCGGAGGCAACATGGGAGAAAGCATTCGATAGAGCGGCAGGAGAGCTGAGTAAGTGGAAAGCCAAGTATCTCACGACGGGGGCGAGGGTGACGGTTATCAACAGCTATGTGCTGCCGATCTTCCTTTTCCAAGCGCAAGTGTACCCGCCGGACGACCTGCTGTGGAAGAAGGTGGAAACAATGGTAGAGAATTTTGTGTCTGGCAATCATACGGATACGGAGCGGCACTTCAGACTCTGGAGCGGGGAGTTGATGTACACGCCTAGAGAGCAAGGAGGTTTGGGAGTTATTGATCCGAGAGGACGTGTTGACAGCGTGGCGCTGAGGTGCGCGGGCTTGGCGTTGCGGCAGGAGTGTCCGCTCAGGCGTGGTTTGTCGGAGCGAGCGGCAGGGATGCCCCTCGGTTGGGCAACGCTGTATGCACATAAGGCGGTGCTGCGGGGGGGCCTTTTCAAAAGCAGGAGATGGGCAAGGCTGTGTAAGGCAGTTCTGAAGTCCACTGTGGTGGAGGTGCCGGCGGTTTCGTCGCGATGGGACGCAGAGGAGGAGTTCCTGTGTTTCAACAAGAGCATTATCCACCGTGGGAGTGCGCCGTTCGGAGGGCAGAAAGGGACGGAGAAACTGCGGGGGTGGAAGCTGCGCGATATGGTGATGCGGAAGTGGGATGGCACTATGGTGTTGAAGTCGGAAGAGACGCTGGCAAGGGAACTGGGTGGTAAAAAAGAGGCGGAGATGGCGCTTAAGGCATTTCACGCAGTGCCGGAGCAGTGGCGGCAGTGGATATTGGCACCTCTGCTGGCAGAAGAGGTAGCGGGTGTGTCTTCCACGGTGTGCACTAAGCTCCCTAGTGGGCAAAGGTGTCTATGGGAGGTCTGCGGCAAGCTGGGAAGGAAGGTGGAGCTTCGTGGGCTAAGTGGACGAGGGGAACGCACTGCATGGGAGGTGAAGATGGTGTTAGGCTGCGGTAGCGTGGTACCGGTGAGGCTATCCGGAGCTCGGGCAGTAAGAGAAGTTGGGGATCCGAGAACGAGATTGCTAAGTTCGACGCTGTTTAAAGAAGATGAGGTGGCTCCGCTGAAGGAGCTCAGGGAGCCGAGCAAGGGAGTGGAAGCGGTGGAGGTAAAAAGGACGAAGTGGGAGGCTCGGGCAGGCAGGAAAATTAACTGGGAGCGGGGGAGAAGAGTCCGTGATTCACTGGTGGTCCCGGCTAGGGCAAGGGATGTGCTACTCCGTGTGCAGAACCTCAACCTCCAGGTTGGGGAGAGGGTTTCTTTTCTGAATGGGGGGGTGAAGTGCCCGAACTGCGGGTTGGAGGAGACACTGGAGCACTGTTTGCTCGAGTGTGCGAGTGTTGCGCCGGTGTTTGGGGCAGTCAAGGCGGCGCTCAGCATGATGCAGCCAGCGAGGCGGGTTGACACCCTGGCAGATTTTGTGTTCGGAGAAGAGGAGACGAAGTCCGGTTTCCCCGAAGCTACTATGGCGGCAATGGCGATGCATCAGATTTGGTTGGGCAGGTGTGATGTGTCTCTCCGGAAAGTGAGGAAGTTTCAGGCACGGAAGGTGCTTCGGAGGATAAACGTGGAGTTCAACAAGCATGCAAGGATCTACTGCGGCAGGCCGAGCAGACAGGCGCGGAAAGATAAGGCGAGACGGAACTTGGCGGAGGATGAAGCACGTGTCATGCGGCGGATTTGCGACAGCGAGGCAGTGGGGCTGAGGTGGCAAGGGCGGTTCCAGTCCATCTGGACAAACCCGAGGACGTTTGTGAAACCACCATAAAGTTCGCAGGGAGGGCTAGGTGTCTTTGCCTAGCTCGAGCCCTGATGCATCAGTTACGACTGTAGTGTTTTGCCTGTACATCTTCTTGTATAAGCTTTCACTTAAAAAAAAAAAAAAAAAAAAAAAAAAAAAAAAAAAAAAAAAAAAAAGACCGTCCTCGGTTAGATGCTGCATCTTGAACCTGAAACTATATTAGGGAGTAAATGTTCAACTGAAAGGTCACAAGAATGTTTAGCCGAAGCTCAATACACTTTCAAACAAAAGCGCAATTCATTCAGTATTTTCCCCTGCCCAAGTCATTGGTGGATTACCATCCACACAGATCTTCCTCCATCCCACACACATCATAATACCGTACCATGCCAGACAACTGAATATCAGCCAAAAACTATACTACACACAGCCTACCATATCCCGCGTTCCCCTTCAAGACGTATACAATTCCGAACATGCGCTTCCCTTAACTGCGGTGCATACTGTAACGAGGGAGGTAAGTAGACCAGGTTGCAACAAAAATCCAGAGTCAGTTTTTGCAAGCTCCGCCATTCCAAGAGCTCCCCGTACTGCAACAGATCGTGCCACAAACTCTCATGCTGCGATTCTTCACTGCCGCCCCCCCTAGCAGCAGCATCGTCATCACCACCTTCTTCCCTCAATCCCCCCTGCTGCTTTCCCTGTGCTGCTTCCCTTACATGCTCCCTGCCCGTATGTGCCCCCCGCTCTGGCAAGACTTCCGCCTGTCCTCGTTCCTCCATGCACCCCCTGTGTTCTTCACTTGGATCACTCCCTCTCAGTTCTGAGGCTCCAGCCTCCTCATCTTCCCTGCTTCCCTCACTTCCCTCCTCTTCTGCTTCGTCCTCTCCACTCCCCCCCCAACCCTCAGAGCCCTCTCTTTCCTCCTCATCTGCACCACTATCCCCCCCCTGTCGCTCTGTTCCTGCAGCAGCATAATCATCATCGGCAGAATCAGCAGAATCAGCATCATCATCAGCAGCTGCGTCAACATCACTATTATCATCATCATCACCAGAACCAACATCAGTGTAGGAGGAGTAAGGAATTGAGCGCAGCTGTTGCATACCGAACAGGTAGAGAGACGTAAGATGGGGCAGGAGTGGGAAGCACGAGGGGAGCGAAACCAGCCTCAGGGAACGCAGAACAATGGAGCGAATCGGGAAACGAGAGTGCGTGGAGGATGTGGGAGACAGGGAGGGGGGTGGACGGACAGGGGGAGAAGGGATGGAGTTGAGAGAATTGAGGCAGTCCAGTTCGAGGTGTGTGAGGGACGGGAGGAGGAGGAGCGTCGGGGGGAGGGAGGAGATGGCATGGCAAGAATCAATCTTGAGTTCCTGGAGGGAGGGCAGGTGGTGTATGTCTGTGGGGAGGGAGGAGAGAAGCGGGAGGTAGAATAGGGTGAGGTGGGAGAGGTGGAGGAGGAGTGTGAGGGAGGGAGGCAGCTGGGAAATATGGTGACTGTGGGAGAGAACCAGGTGCTGCAGCGACCGCAGCAGGACCTTACTGCCGGGTGGTGAAGTGGGGATGGGTGTCGTGTGGAGGGCGCCTGTTGTGGTGACGGGTGAAGTGGGGACAGCTCGAGGCAAACCAGTATGGACACCATCTTGACTTGTAACATCCCCACTTGTGGCATCCTTACTTGTGACATCCCCACTTGGCTCACCCCCCTGCTCCTTCCCAGCAACCACCACCACCACCGCTTCTGCTCCTTCTTCTGCTGCTGCTGCTGCTAGTGGTGCCTTTTCTGCTCCTCCTTCCTCACGGTCAGACTGACTGCCACCCAGCTCAGAACCACACTCCAAGGGAAGATGCATAAGGCTGGAGCAGGAGAGAGAGAGCGTGTGGAGGGAGGGGAGGAGAGGTAGAGAAGACGGCAGGTGGGATACTGCGGAGCAGTCTGAGAGAAAGAGTGTGTGAAGGGAGGATAAGAGGGAAATTTCAGGAGGAAGGGAGGAGAGTGAGAGGCAGGAGGAGAGTTGGAGTGTGTGAAGGGAGGGGAGGAGCGGGAGTGAGTGCGGGAGAGACAGGAGACTCCTCCAATGCTCAATCTTAAGCTCATGCAACGAGGAGAGGGAACTGAGGGAGGAGGGGAGCGAGGAGAGGCGCGGGCAATTGTGAATGTGGAGGAGAGTGAGGGAGGGAAGGGAGGCAAGTGAGGGTGGGAGGTCCGTGAGTGAAGAGCAACCCTTAATTTCTAGTGTGTGGAGGGAAGAGAGGCGGGAAATGTCTTCTGGAAGGGCAGAGAGGTGGGAGAAGGAGGCGAGTGAGAGAAGCTCAAGGGAGGCAAGCTGGGGGAGCGAGGGAGGTAGCGCCTTGAGCCTCGGTCGGTTTTGCATGTTAATATCGTACTCTGCTAAACGAAGCTCCTTCAAACGGGGTAAATGGTGGCCGAAGTCAGGGGGGAGGGAGGAGAGAACAGGGTGCTTCATGTTGGTTATTGTTAGCTGCTCCAGGGACGGCTGGTGGAAGAGAGAGGGGGGAAAGCTAGAGAGAGAGTCGCAGCGGTGCAGATAGAGGAGGGTGAGGTGATTCATGTGAGAGAGTGAGGAGGGGAGAGAGGAGAGGAGGAGGAGGTCGGATAGTTTGAGAGATTTGAGTAAGGAGAGGAGGCCAAGGGTGGAAGGAAGGCGAGTCAGGCAGTTACAATCGTTGATGGTCAGTTGGGTGAGGGACGAGAGGGAGGAGGAGGAAGCGGGTAGATACTCCAGCCAATGGCATTGCTGCACGGTCAGCTCTTCCAGACTTTCAAGCTGACCGAAACCTTCAGGCAGCGCGATCAAATCGTCGCAATTGATGACCGTGAGGCGGCGGAGGGAGGAGAGGCCGGAGAGGGACGACGGTAGTTCCTGTAGCTCTCCAAAGTTACTAACTGAGAGTTCTTGTAACGAGTGGAGATTCCCGATGGAGTCTGGAAACTCGGTGCAGGATGGGAGGGAGGAGAGGTGGAGGGAAACGAGAGAGGAGAGGGAACCGAGAGATTGAGGGAGGGAGGAAAGGAGGGAAATGTTGTCAAAAGTGAGGGAGGTGAGGGAGGAGAGGATGCTGATGGAGGGGGGGAGGAGACGGAGGGAGGAGCAGGAGATGAGGCTGAGGTGAGTGAGGGAGGAGAGGAGGGTGATGGAGTCCGGGAGTGACTTTAATGAAGGGCACTGTAGGTGCAGATGGCGGAGAGAGAGGGGGAGTGCCAAGCGGTGGAGGTCGGTTCGCTTGGTCGCACTGGTTCCAGTGGCAGGTGAGGGAGAGCGGGTGCTAGTAGGAGGAGTGAGGGAACTAGGGGGGTTGAGGGAATTAGGGGGTGTGAGGGAATTAGGGGGTGTGCGGGAATTAGGGCTGGTGAGTGGATTGGGAAATGAGAGATTGTCAGGAGGAGAGAACGGCGTAGGGAGTGTGAGGGAGGTCAGGGAGGAGCATTTCAGCAGCAGCTGCTCCAGGCAGCCATGGCTAGGCAACGCTTGTGGTAACCACATAACGTTTTCCAAACATTCTTCCAAGTGTAACTCCCTTAGCTTCGAAGATAAGCTGATTAGCGACTGTATATCTCCATCCTTAACGTACGGAACGGGAATCGACTCCATACGGAAATAATTCCGTTCTCCTCCATAGATATCCTCCCCAGTTTCCCTTGGATCCTCGCTCTTGAGTAAACCGAACATGACCATTCTTTTGCCGAGATGAAGGCTGGTCAGTTCCGGACAATGCGCCGGAAGATCCCTGAAGAAACGGAGGGGGATGAACCCGAGAGCGCGATCAGGCGCGGAGATGGCCGTGAGGTGCGGGAACCGCGCGGAGGCGGAAAGAAGCGTGCGCGCGGAGAGACAGCGGTCGGGGGGAAGACGGATGGCGGATTGCGCGAGGAGCGCGAGGCGGAACCACCGGCGACAGACGAATGCGTGCGAGAAACTTGAGCCGTCCGATGCGATTTCGCGAAGGATCGAGCAGAGAATGTCGTCCGAGAGGAGATCAATCGGCGGCCGTTGATCGACGGCGAGGACAGCGTTATCAGGAGCCATGAGATCAAATGGTAGAGGGGAATAGGCGTAGGGTTTGCGAAAACAGGTGTCCAATACTCCCTAAATCCGAATGGTGTGAAAGCAGTTGACATTATGGATGGGAATATGTGCAATAGATTGTACAATGATGTGGTGGAGAGGGGTGGCTATAGTCATCGGGACTTAGGACGCGTCACATTTGACACATCGATCCTGCAAGAAATTGTTGTGTGAGTGTACAGTGGCTTCGCGATTTCGTGATTACTAGTGTATCCTCGCTTCGTGAGTTTTCGCGTAAACCCCGCATGTACACTATCGATCCGCCACCGCATTGAAACACCGCCTCAAGCATGCACAACTCTCAGAAACATTATTATCTCCGCTAAAAATGGATCTTGAGGACGATCGTGTCCCACGCGGTTTGGAACACTGCTCTAGCGATCGATACTCACGATTTCGGTCCGGTGTGTCAAATATGACGCGTCCTAAACTTTGGTATCTCCTCCCTAACCAGTTTTGCCTTGGGGATATCACTAGTCAAATGTCCGAAGATCACATGAAAGAATCTGCATGCAAGCAGATCATCCATGGATGCACTCTCGTTCCTGCAAGCAGCATTTGATGGGTTTCTCATCACAAGAATAGCGGCGCGTAGGTGGCTTGTTTAAAGAGCACCCTAGAACGAGATTCGCACCGTACAACAAGCCTGTACTGGTGAGCCTCCTTTGGTCGCATATTACCTATGAGGGTTCTCGTGGTTTCGTTTCTCTGGGTTCTGGCAACCACCACCATGGACTTATGTGCTTTGTTCGATCCCGCTTTTCCAGCTTCAAGGAAGACCAGACTGAACAATTCATCGCTCTGAACACTCACTCTGAAGAGCAAGTTTGCTATACCTCTTCGATGCAGAGGAATGGCTAAAGAACGACATCTTGCCAGCACCAGTGATCTTCAGAGCACGTTCAAGGAGCTGAGCTCTACCTGGAGTTCTCCGGCAACGAATCGAGCTCCTGTTGGTGTGTTTTGGGACTACGAGAATCTTCCTGTCCCAAAGCGTGCGTCGACCTCACAAATTGTTCGCGAGCTGCAGAAATTTGCGGACGGTCTAGGAGACGTGCAGCTGATCAGAGCGTACGGACAGGACACATGCTTTAAGAAGCAAAAGGAAATTCGGCGCTGCAACGTTGAGCTGGTGGTAGTTCCGCCTGGAAGAAACATGGCAGACAACGCCATTAAAAAAGACGCTGAAAGATTCTTGCTCAGGGAGATTGCATGCCTTCTGAACTCTGGACAGGACTGCAAGGGGACCAAGTAAGTGTTGTACATGTAGTTTTTTCAATTCCTTATTTTCTTTCCAATTTTTCCAACCACCCCGCCTTTTTTTTCTTATTCAGAACTGTACGTGCATATCTCACCCCTGGCTTCCCAAGCAGTTTTGAGCATCCTTTTGTGGTCATACTTTCTCAAGATCGGGATTTCCTCCCTTTCATCTTAACTCTGGTTCGCACTGGAGTGAGAGTAGTCGCATTATTCTCCTTAACCACCAAGCAGAACCAGGATCAGAGTAACAACTGGCGCTCTGCTCTACTGCAGTCCAACGTGTCCGTGCAATCCAGTGAGGTACGAGCAGGTTCAGTCATGATGCGCGGTTTCTTGCTCGGCAGGACTGACCTCATGCCATCATCTGCAGAAGCGTCTCTTAAGTTGGTCCCTACCAATTCCAACACGCACAACCCCCCCACAAGCTCGTCACCGCCAACTCTCACGAGCAATGTTCCAAAACTTGCACGGCTCAAATACGAGATTATCACAGTTGTTGGTGCGCATGGAGCATGCAACATCGAGCAATTTTACGAGCTGTATCATGCTGTGTTTGGGAAGCAGTTCAGCTACAAAGACCACGGGTTCAATGGATAGCATCAGTTGATTTCTGCGCTAAAAGGTGTGGTGGATTTTACAAGGGAAGACCCGCAGAAGCCTTTCAACATTTCACTTGTGCAGTCGGAAGCCAACATGCGAACTCTTGGACTTATCCAATCAAGGCTAAGAGTCGCTGTTCATGCAGCACTAGAGGATCTATTGGCAAAAGAAGCCGAGCGATCCTTACCCAGAGCTAGTGGGCTGCCTCATGTACCTGATGACCTGCACTCGTCCTGACCTTGCGTACCCTCTTGGCCTTCTGGCTCGCTACGTGGCTCCTGGTAGGCACCGAAAGGTGCACATGGATGCTGCTAAGAGGGTACCGCGCTACTTGTGCAGTACATCGGGCATGGGGCTCGTGCTTGGAGGACGGGGCGACGTTGTCCTCACTGGTCACTCGGACGCTTCTTGGGTTGACGACCAGGCTACGCAGCGGTCGTCACAGGGTTACACCTTCAGCCTTGGCTCTGGTTCTGTTTCTTGGCGTTCTACACGCTCGTCTTCAGTACTCAGCTCCAGTTGTGAGACTGAGATCTACGCCACAGCCATGGCTGCACATGAGTTACGCTGGCTCACCTACCTGCTGACCGACCTGGGAGAGCGGCCTCGTTCTCCTCCAGTGCTGTACGTCGACAACAAGGCCGCCATTGCCTTGTGTGAGGAGCACAGACTGGAGCACAGAACGAAACACATCGCTCTGCGTTACTTTCTGGCTCGAGAGTTGCAGCAGCGTGGTTAGCTTCGTCTTGCTCACATGGCCACTCGGGCCAACACTGCTGATATATTCACCAAGGCACTTCCGTATGGTAATCATCAGCGTTTTTGCACTTTGTTAGGCCTTGTGCCCACTTTTCCTCACTTGCTGTAGACTTTGCTTGTACTGTGATCTATATATATACCTGCATGCTTGCTCTGCTAGATAGAGATCACTGTGCTGTTGTTGTTGCATATATATATCTACATGTGAACTGGCCTTGTGGCCCTTTGCTTGTGCTCAGTGTGTGTGGTGACGTTGTGATCCACCCTGAGCTTGCTTTGCTTCTCTTGACTGGTCTTGTGACCCCTTGCTCTCCCCCACTTTGCCTATGGGGGTCTGTCAAATGATATATCTGCTATATATGTTTAGGCTGTAGTGGGGTAGCCAATATGGGGTACATCCCCTTTTAGGGTTTCATATTTGTACCCAACTCTTTCATAGTTCATCCATTCCTGCTGCTAGATTCTAACATGGTTTCAGAGCACTAGGTCCGTAGGACCGTTTTTTTTTCGGGCCCACCTACCGTTGCGGTTACCGCGCTACCCCATGTGTTGTCCCGCCTGCATTGCCTTGTGACGTGCTGCGCTGCGCGCGCCGTCCTGCAGCCCTCGCGCTGCCAACTGCTACTCTAGGCCAGCGCGCCGCCCCTGCAGGCCTGTAAGGCCCGCGCGCCTCCCCTGCAGGCCCGTCAAGCCCACGAGCCGCCCCTGCAGGCCCGTTAGGCCAGAGCGCCGCCCCGCGCGTCGCGCCCGCTGCCCGCGCGTCGCGCTGCAGCCCCGCGCGTCGCGTCCGCGGCCCGCGCGTCGCGCTGCAGCCCTGCGCGTCGCGCCCGCTGCCCGCGCGTCGCACTGCAGCCCCGCGCGTCGCGTTCGCTGCCCGCGCGTCGCGCTGCAGCCCCGCGCGCCGCGTTCGCTGCCCGCGCGTCGCGCTGCAGCCCCTCGCGCCGCGCCCGTAGCTCGCGCAGCGCGCTGCAGCCTCGCGCGCCGCGGCTGCCCCTGTTCGTCGCGGCTGCCCCTGGACGCCGCCCCTGCCTGACTGACTCCGTCGCTCCTGCAGCAGCTGCCACGGAGCCCCCTGCCAAAGTCGCGGCCCTGCCCTGCAGCAGCTGACGCGGAGCCTTCTGCCGCCGTCGCGGCCCTGCCCTGCAGCAGCTGTCGCGGAGCCTCCTGCCGCGGTTGCGGCCCTGCCCTGCAGCAGCTGCCGTGGAGCCTCCTGCCGCGGTCGCGGCCCCGCCCTGCAGCAGCTGCCGCGGAGCCTTCTGCCGCCGTTGCGGCCCCGCCCTGCAGCTGTCACGGCCCCGCCCTGCAGCAGCTGTCGCGGACCTGCCCTACGGCCGACGCGGCCCTGCTCTGCAGCCGCTGCTGCGGCCCCGCCGTCGCCGCCGTCGTGCGCCTACCCTGCCGCCGCCCGCCGAGCACCGGCCCTGCCCGCCACTGGTGAGCACCTGCCTTGTTCGCGCGCTACCGCGCCCTCTGCATGCCTGCCTGCCTGCCTGCCTGCCTGCCTGTTTGCCTGCCGCGCCTGCCCTGCCTGCGCTGCTGCTGCTACTACTGCTACTGCTGCTACTGGCGGTGGCCAGATGCAGCTCCAGCGACGTCCGCGCGAGTCTCTCACGCCTCAGCAGCTTCGTGAGTGGTACGCTAGTTGGGGTTGTGGCGGTAGCCGTCGTGGCTGTCGCCCTAGAGCTGGTCAGTCGGGAGCGTCTGGCAGTGGCCAGCTGCAGCTGCAGCGGCGTCCGCGCGAGACACTTACGTCCCAGCAGCTTCACGAGTGGTACGCTCAGAGTAGAGGGTCTTTGAGT